CGTCAGGCGCTAGCGGCGGGCGTGGAGCCTGACGGTCCTCGCCCCCGGGCTCGCCGCGGGGGCCCTGGGCGCGTGCCCGGAGGCTCGGGGCCGCAGCCTCCGCCGCCGCCTCCGGTCTCCCCCGCCACCTGCTCTCCGCGCGGCGGCCCTCGCGGTCTCCTCCGCGAGCCGCGCGTCGTCGGCCTCCCCACCCCCTCGCTTCCTCGGTTCGCTCAGCCGCCCCGCCTCCCCCGAGGTCTCAGAGGCCTGGTCTCCGTAGCCTCCGTGTCGGCGGCCCGCGCTGCAGCCGCCGCCGCCGCCGCCGCCGCCGCCGCCGTCGCCCTGTGCATTGTGGGAGCGGGAGGAGGCTGCGCTCCAGCGCGGCCACCGCGGTCGCTCCCGACTCTTCTGGGGCTCACGCTGCCTCCCATCGGCGGCGGGCACCGAGCATCTCCAGCCCACGCGGCTGACATCCCCAGACCTGCCTTGGCCGCCCCCTCACCCCACCAGAGTGCGCGGACGTGGGGGCCGTGCGGGAGCGCGTCCCGCGCGAGGAGCTGCGACCCGGGAGCCTGGAGGCTGCTCATCCCGGTCCAGCTGTTTCTAGAAAGAGGACCTGGGTAGGGGAGGGCTTGAGGAAGGCCTCTCTGTGACCTGCAGCCCCAGAAGAGCCTTGCCCACTGCAGGGCCTGCACCACCCAGAATTTGAAGGATGCCCAAGGTCACTCTGAACTTGGGTCTGCAGCGGGGTCTGTTGGTGATGCAAGGACGAAGGGTGGGCTCTAACACACGGAAACTCCAACGAACCTGAAAACAGGGTGACCCTGGGGAATGGCCACCTTAGACCTTTGTGTTCGCGTAGGTGCGCTGAGGCTTGAGGGTACTACTACCTGAACCTGATCCTGACGTCTCCTGATCCCAAAGTCACCTGAAAATGGCAGCCCACTGAAACTCAGGGGCTTGCAGTTTGGCTCAATCTGCTCGGTGCCCTTACACAAGCGCAGGAATGTGCTCTTTTCATTCCAACCTTCCATGTTCTCTCCAGCCACACTTTGACGCTCGTTTGAAATAATCCTTTTAAATTCCAGCCTCCTTATGTGCCCATCTTTCTTATTTCTTTCAATTGTAAGTGCCAGTCATGGGGAGTTGCGGCCAGTTTCATTGTTCCGTTCGTTGGTTTTTGAGACAAGTATCTCTAAGTAGCCTAGGTTTGGCTTCGAACTCTCCATCCCCCTGTCTCTGCCTTGCGAGTGCTGAAATTTTAGAGCTATGGTTGTGAGACCAGTCCAGTCAGGTCAGAGCACAAAGCCCGGCATCCAGGTTACGTCTGAACTCGAGTATGTGAAGGAAGACTATTCACCACTTTGATGTTTTTGGATTCCATCCTTTCTTTGTCCGGCTGTGAAAAGACTCAAAATGCACTTTTGACCAGCAGAGCATTCAAAGCACTGAGTTGAGATTTCGGAGACCTAGCTCCTATCTCTTTCTTATACTTCCTTCATGCCTGTACAAGGTGCCTGTTTTCTTACTCTCCAGATAATAGCTACCTGTCGGAACTGTTGAGGAAATCTGAGTATGACGGAGGAAAACAAAAACACCCAAAACAAAACCCTGAGAGTTCTTTCAAAAGCACAAGCAAAAAGAAAATTGTGATGATTCTTTCACAATTTTTAAGTACATGCGTTCAACTATCCAGATAGTTGAAGCCATCGTAAGAGAAGAAGACCAGAGTTACGAGAACGTTTTTTTTTTTCCTTTTGGTGGGGGTGGGGATAAAGTCTCTCTAGGTAGCTGGGGCTGACCTGCAGCATGCTCACCTCTCTCTTCTGAGTCCTGGGAGTGCTGGAATTGCAGGCGCCTGACACCGCATACGCTTGAGAAATGGGTTTCTGACCACTAACCTCTTGCTTCATTCAGGAAAAGAACAGACTTTAAACAAAACGCACACAACCGGCAGTGGGTGGGGTGCATTCTCACGGATGGACTCTCCTGTCTTACGCATATATATTTATAGCCCAAAGCACTCTGCTATTAGTAATGTCAGAAAACCAGGAGGAGAGTCCAGACTCCAAAAGTAGGTACAAGGGATTGTATATTTTATTGTAAACTGATAAAAACTTTGTTACTGCTTTCTAAATAAGTTAAGAGTGTTCCCTGGTAGGTTGTTTTCAAATGAAAACACTGTCCACACCTAAATGGGGGGGGGGGGGAGTTTCCGCCAATCAGGTACTCCTCGACTTTCTTTCTTACTCTTTAACTCTTTAAGTTGTATCCTGACAAGCCAATTAGAAATACTGTTAATTTGAGGCGCACTTAATAAACCAACAGAACAGCACTGGCATAGCTTAGCCTCCTACTCTGAACCCGCTCAAAACACTTAAATTAGCCTGTTGTTCAGCAGAGTCGTTTAGCACAAAGCCCAGCTAGTGATAGTGGTAAATAACTCAGGTAATTTATTGCACACTTGGCAAAAGAAACGCTGGCAACACAGTACACTGTGGTAGAGTATCAGTCACTTACCTTGGCGAGAGCATGGCTGACTGGGAGCTACAGTGGCTTCCTGCCACTGCCCGGCAACAGAAAGCAGTATCCTACTGTCACTAGGTCAAAAACAAACAAACAAAAATCCAACAACAAAATTCAAAAACTCAGGGTGAGAGAGATTGCTCACTGGTTAATTCAATTCAATTCATGTGGGTTCAATTCCCAGCACTCACTTGGTGCCTAATAATTGTCTTTGACTCCACTTCTAGGGAATCTGATGCCCTCTTCTGGCCTCATGGGTACCAGGCACACAGACATACATGCAGGTAATTTTTTTTAACTTTTTAAGTATAAAGATTGTTCCAGAAGTTCGGGACTGGAGGTATAGCTAGTTTTATAGCACTTGCTGAACATGTATGAGGCCCTGAATTCCATCCTATTACTGCGAAAGAGAAGGATTAGGAGAGAGGAAAAGAAAGAGTACATTTTCTACGGAATGCACACCACTTTTATAATACCATTGTAAAGTGAAAAAATTGTAAATTGAACCACTCCAAGTCAAAGACGATATATATATATGAATATTACTGTTATCTATGACTGTTCAGGGCTGCAGAGTGCCAGACAACACTCTACACGCCAAGGATTCCTGTGAAAGTTCTCTGTAAACCCTCAGGCTTTACATCCTTGTTGGAGAGAGAAATAGAAAGTTAGAGGGTGTTAAGCATATGAGTCCAACTGCTAGAGCAATATAGGTGCTACATAATGTGCTGAAACAATGGAACTGTATCATCTCGGCTCTGGCACCAGAAATCTCAGAGCACATGTGTCCTTCTGAGGACTATCAGAGACAGTGTGTCCCAGGTCTCTCTCCTGGCTTCTGGGATTTTGCTCACAAACTTTTATCTTTTTTTTTTTCTTTTTAGACCTGGAAGGCTGTGGTGGAACTCATTCTTGTATGCTAGCCTCCCAGTGCTGGGATTACAGGAGCACTGCGCCTGGCTTTTGTATATCTGGACATTGATAAAAGACCCCATCTTCCTCTCAGTCTTCATGTGGCATTCATTCTCCCACCGTGCAAGCACATCTCTAAAGATACCATCACTGTCAGATTGAACTGACTACTACTTTATGACTTCAGCTTAATTTTATTGCCTGCAAAAGATGATGTCTCCAAATAAGATTATGTTTGTGTAGGCATGGGTGTGAGGTAGGACTTTGGTACCTTCTGAATGGACATAATTCAACCCATATCAGTATACAGCAGAGAAAAACTAAGCAGAGAAGGTAAGAGAAGAGAGAGTATGGGAGGCAGACCAGAAACTTAAAATAGAGCACTCACTGCAGTATTCAAAACATTTTTAAAATGAGGGTTCACTACATCTCAGTATTTAATATAATAAAAAACACAAAATGAATTCTCACTGGCCTGTGGAAAGCTCATTATGAGTTGTCTACAGGGATAAGGAAGGGACAGTCTGCAACACTGTCTTATAAAGTAACAATTCTAGTTCTTTAGAACTAGCCTGATCCTAGAGGCAGAAATAAAGTGCTAGTTACTAGTTTGGATTTAGTGTTCACACCTATTCTAACTTTTAATATTTGTGAAAACTGGGTACTGGGCATAGTAAGCTTTGGCTGAGTGAAGAAGTCTTCATCATCCAGCCCTGATAGCTGGGAGGTCTTTTCTGATCGAAGAACAGAGGAATAAAACACTGATACAGGAAAATATATATTATATAATATATATATTATAATCTTACCTCTCGGGAGGCAGAAGTAGGAGGATCACTACAAGTTCAAGGCCAGACAAGGCTACATATTTTGACCCTGCCTGAAAAAGTAGAATAGTTAAGCTGTAAGTTTTGCTTTGCTTTGTTTTTGGAGCATTTCCTTTTGAGCACAGTTTCCAGGCTCATGTTGTATTATCTCCTCCTCCATTTCTCCAAGATGTCTGACTTCCATTCACTCAAAAGTGTGTGCCTTGTTGCTGTTGTGGTATTTAGCATCTAGACTCTTAGCTACAGCAAAAGGAAATAAGTATGTATACTAATTGAT